ATGAATTTAAATCACGTTTAAAGCATGGAAGACATATCGATTCTAAAAACAAAAATCCCTAAAAGAAAAGGAAAATAATCAAGATGAACAATATAAATGATGTAAATATTTACAAAAATGGTTCATGATATTTTTGATAATAGACTTTAAGATGAAGTCCAAATGTTTGAGAACAATCAAGAGACTTTGATAAATTATGTTAATACGAAGAGAAAATAGGACAAAAAGAAACATTTATTGATGAGATTTTTTATTATAATGTTGTAATTAATATTTTGAATGAAAATAAGGATCTTGGACCTAAATTTATTGAAAAATATCGACATAGAGATGATTGATCTAAATGAAAATCCAAGTAGAATTATGTTCTCTTACAAATGAATAGTTTCGAATAAATAGTCAAAACACCTAAAGATATTAAGATAGTGGAATACAAATGAGTATTTTTGTGAAAACAAAATGAGATTGTGAGATACAAAATAAGACTTATAACATAAGAGTTTTCATAAAGATCCGACATTGACTATAAACGGACATATTCTCCTGGAATGTATGCTATTACATTTTGTTATCTTGTTAGTTTGGAAAAACATATGAAAAATTTCATATGCATGTATTTAATGAATGTGATAATAGTTTATTTATTCATTTAAAATGATATCTATATGAAAGTCTTAGAAGGACTTAAGATACCCAAAGCATGTGATACATATTATTGAGAAATAAATTCAATTAAATTATAAAGAACTCTATAAGGATTATTTAAGTGTTTGTTTTATTACTTTAATTTTTAGAAATTTAATTTATACTATACTTTTTATATTTATTTTTTAATATTTACTCTTTATTACTATCTGTATGCATATGGTATAATCGCTTCAATAAATATTTATTGAAAGAAGGTTATAAAAATAACCATATTTTGTTCATATATTTTTATAATGAAATTCAAAAAAGGGATTGTGATAATTATTGTATATGTTAATGTTTTAAATATTATTAGAACTCTCGAAGAGATTCAAAGTGCTATAAGTTATCTAAAAAGAGAATTTGATATGAAATACCTTGAGAAAACAAAATTTTATCTCGACTTGGAGTTCGAACGCATAGAGAATGATATTTTTATTTATCAATAATATTTTTATTTATCGTCAATTTATATAGAAAAAGTTCTACAATGACTCTATATAAAGCTCATCCATTGATTAGCCTAATGGTAGTTCGTTTACTTGATATCCAAAAAGATCCTTTTTTGACTTCAAGAAGACACCAAAGAATTATTTGATCTCGAAGTATCATATCTTAATATAATTAGTATATTGATATATCTTGCTAATAATACTCGGCTCGATATAGCATTTTCTATAAGTTTATGAGCAAGTCATAGTTCTACTCGAATACGGAGACATTAGAATGGAATTAAATATTTTCTACATTATGTTTGAGAAAAAATTGATATGATATTTATTTTACTTAAATAAATCAAAGTTAGGTTTTATTGGTTATACGGATGGAAGTTATTTATCTAATCCATACAAAACTCAATTACAAATGAGTTATGTGTTTATACTTAGTAGTACAACTATATCATGACATTCTATAAAGCAAACTATAGACTGTTAAATATTTCAAACCATGTAGAAATATCAATTCATGAGGCAAGTCGAGAATGTGTTTGGTTAAGATCGATGATCCATTATAGCCGAGAGACAAGTAGTTTATTTACTAGCAAAAGAAGTTCCAACAATATCATATGAAGATAATGTTGCTTATATAATTCAATTAAAGAAAAAAATTCGATCAATAGACAATCTAGCATATTTGGTCACTAAGGCATTACCTACTACAACTTTTGAGAAGATGATTCATAAAATTGAAATATATCGTCTCAAATGATTTTTTCAACATGAGGAGCCTAACATTGAGATTAATATGTATAAGAAATATTGTATTATTTTTCCTTCATTAGGATTTTTTTCCTATTGAGTTTTTTCCAAGTAAGGTTTTAACGAGACATGTTCCTTGTACAACGAACATTCAACGGAGAGTGTTATAAAATAATGAATGTCCATTTGAATATTCATATGCTTTTCATATCCCTACTACCATAATTCTTAATGTGATTCAATTTATCATTCAATATGAGAAATTGAAAGGATGATACAATTGATTCAACAATTGATGTACTTATAATTATTCATAGTCTATTTCAATTCTCTTTTCACTTTTGAAGCCAATAAATAGGTTTGATTGTTCATTAGTTTGTGTACAAGCATTTTATAGAGATTGAGAGGTTATTTGGAGTTGTTATCTCTTGTTTTCATTTCATTTTATAGTGAATTCATTTTTCTATACTCTTTCTCTTCAATTCTCCTAATTGTTTCTATTTCTTTTATAACATAATAGTTATTAATAAACTATTTAAAGTTTTAATGTATAAGGAAATACTTCTGATTTTTTTGTGAAATTCAACGATTAATCTTTTGTTGGCTTATTATTTAAATATTAAAATTATTAACAAGTATTATGGTAAAGTTAAATTAAGATTAAAATAATTGAATTGATTTTTTTAATTCCAAAATAACCTTACAATTCCAATCAACGGAATGTTGGATGAGGTTTTTGAAAAACCCCGCAAATTTTATAAAAGTGCTTTTATTTAATCAAGCAATAAATATCATTTATAGGATGATTTCTAAAAGTTAAATGAATGAACTTAATTTTGTTCCTATGACATTGATTACAAGGAGGCAATCTCCAGGTTAACTTAATTCGTCATAAGAAAAATTAGGCTAAATGAGTCAAGCCTCTTCTAAAATTTAATTTATTTAAAATTAAGTTCCTAAACTTCAAATCTATTTTTTAGAGTATTTAAATTTAAATTTTTTTGAGATTTAGTTCATCCAATAAATTTCAACTATCATCCTTCTCTCTAAAAAAATTCAAATTTATGATATTTTGAGTGGAAGTTTTGCATACATGTTGGGAAAAATCCAATACATTTTTTAGAAAAATTCTAGAATTTTTTAAAATAAAAAAGTATATTTGTTTATTTTTTTATCATTAAAAAATATAAAAAATCTAGAAAAATATAAAATAACTTGGAATGATCTCGATTTTTCAAGAGCCTCAAGTAAAGCTCTCTGAATGATTTTTGTCATGGAATTATTTACGTGAAAGTTTTATTTTCAGGATCAATGAAAAAAATAAAAAAACATAACTAAATTTCAAAAAAAATTAAAAGTTTACAAATCTTAAAAACTAAAATTAAAGTTTAAGAACTCAATTTCAAATGAATGAAAGTTTGGAGAGATATTTGACGCCTAAAAATTATTATAGTAACTATAAATCTGCCTTAAATCTTGATTCCGAGGAAAGTGAATAACTTCTAAATTATCTTCAAAGGGAAACAGAAGATGGATTATTTGGAGACAAAAAGAAACCACTTGTTACCACTCTCTGCAATGACCATGATACGGACCAGGTTCAATCTGGAAATCTTATGATTTCTCTAATCTTCGAATAGAGGAAGAGGCATAATTTCTTCGGAGACAGGCTCCATGCTTTATACAGAATGTGCAATTTCAGTTCAATTTGCCTTTCTCTTGTCATTATTTTTGAGAGGAAAAGGAAATTTCTGTAAATGCTGAAACTCTTTTTCTTTTTTTTTTTTTTCAAAACTTTATTTGAAAGTTGACACACTAATTGTTTTTTACTTTGTAGCTTATTATGGTGAAAAATGGAGCCTCCGAACAAAGATAGCTTCTTGTTGCATACAGTATGAATCTGGACAGAATTTTGGGAAACGTGGAAGGTAGAGAATAATATGTATATCCATTTTTCACAAAATTCTGTCCAGATTCATACTGTTTGCAACAAGATATATATATATATATATTCTGATCTCTTTCCGAACTTTAATTTCCTTTTCAGCTGTACAGAATTTCCCAACAACAAATAAAGTTGAAAGATCAATGTCAGGGTATGGATACAAGATGCTGTATGAAATTTATGTCCACTCGCTAACTAAGCTAACTAAACAACCTTCATTCGGTCCAAATTCGAACCAGGTTCAGTTCTATCAGCTCTCTATTTGTTTGGTCCCCTACATGTTCATAATATATAAAGAAACCTGCACCATAGATTATAGGCAAATGTTACCTCTTGTGTAACGTAGAAACGAAGAGAACGTCGGCTGTTCCCTAGAGTTTCCCTGAGCGCTTCAGTGGGGCTATTCTACCCTCCTCAAGTAAGGCTAGCCTTTTCCTACTGAAGTGTTTGGGGGATCTCTGGGTGGCATTTGACACTGGTTATCAACCAGAAGCTGACTGATTATTAAGTTCAATCTCATTGTGTTAGCATTTTTTTTAGCTTGTTTTTCATGGCAATTTATCATATTTCTTCTTCAGGTCCAATATTTCACATTCTTGTCATTGTTTGCTGAGAAATTCATGCACGCATCGTATGCCTCATCAATTTCACATTACAGGCCTTATGCCAGCATAAGTATTTCTTTCAAATTTTGAGAAGATGTATATCTGACATAAAGATATCTTTAAAATATTTCAAAATGGTCTTGTGAAGATAAGAAAAACAGAGATATTATAACATCAATAAATTTGGGACATTTTGGGGGAGCTTGGAAGGATTTGAATTTTGAAATGCAACTGTTCCTTCATAATAAGGAGATGAGTTTTGGTCACCTTAAAGGTTAAAAGTTCTGGCAATTATAGTAGTAAGACCGCATCCTGTATTTGCACTAACAGTTTATTGATTCAGACTAATCTAGCTGACTAAAAAGAAGGGACAAAAAAATTCAAAACTGGCCTGCAGTCTATCTATAGTAAAGTTAATGTTGTTTGGCGCACCCTCTATATTGATTTGAGTCAACCTTAAGGAAAGTCAGAACTCATTCTATTAACTATTCCTTGTTCATGTGTATACGAACTAGCTTCTCATTTTCTTCCTTGTCATCGTTCTATGCCTATTTTCTACGAAGGATGCTAAAGCAGTCGTAAGTGTTAATATACTTTCCATGCACTCCATTCAATTTCTTACTAATGACGCTAATGTATTACAACTATCATTCTAATTTCAAAAATTTCATGCGATTTAAGTGGTTAAATCATGGTGCTGATATAAGCAATAGAAGAAGCGCAAACGGAGAGGTGCTAATCAATCGATTGACAATAAAAAATTTGCTGTTAAAATGGGCATTCTTTGCTGGAAAAGACATATCAGCAACTCCAGCAATAGCCAAAGGAAGAGTATATTTCCTATCTTGGAGTAGATATTTGTATGCGGTTAATGCATTCAATAGTGCTTTAATATGCATGGAAGCAAAACCTCAGCAAGCTAAGTGGATTAAAGGGCACTGGAATTACCGTGAACGTAACAGTGTCTAGATCAACTCCAACAATAGCCCATGATCTCTTGTCTAGATCAACTCCTATAGATGGGAGGACCGTGCATACGAACATCGCCAACAGCAACCGAGAGAGGTTCACACTTGCCCCATCTAATGGAACAACAACAGCAGGAGCATGGGCAGCACTGGGTGCAAATTCAGGCCAAGTATTGTGGTCCGCAGCAAACCCCAGCACCGAAGCTGCTCAGGGACCTGTAACAATAGCTAATGATGTACTTTTCGCTGGATCAGTGGCTTCTTATGGCCCTATATATGCGATGGATGCCAAAACAGGTAATATTCTCTGGTCATACAATACTAGCGCGACTGTATACGGAGGTGTATCAGCAAGTATATATCGGTGCATTTATCTCGGGAATGGTTATACAGTGGGCACGGCAAGGTTATTCCATCCAACTTGGATTGGTGGAACTTCACTCTATGCATTCTGCGTTGCATAAACGGCAGCTCGACAAGGGCGAAATGAATGAGCCTACTACGATGCTGTTAAATAAAACTATCAACTTTGTGTCCGAATTTATTCAGTTGTGGCCTTCTCTTTCTATGAATGTCTAAGCTAGTATGTGTATATATATATATATACACACACATATATTCCACTTCCAATTAGAAATGGCAATTCTGCCAAGAAGAGTAGAAATTCGCAGCAATATCATGTCAATATGTCAGTTGCAAGGTCTTCTAGGACTTTGGCAGATTAAATCGCAGAAAAATAACCCTTCATTTCACCATCTTTTCTTTTCTTATTCAACTCTTTCAAAAACTTTAAAAAACAATGGGCTGAGTGTCGCCGCCGCTGGGAAATTTCTGTCGCATCCCAAGATGGAAAATGGATTGGAGAATCAGATATTTGAGTGGGGGTACCAAGAGGGGAGTTGGTCGGTTAAAAAGAAAAAAGAAAAAAGAAAAAAGCAGATTAAATCGCAACAATATCATGCCAATATATATGTTTACTACTAGCTATTTTGCGCTTCTTTAGCATTTCTTTGTTAAAAATGATAATTCACTGGTCAAACCAGAACATTTGGGCATGACTTAATTTGGTGCTGTTTAACCTTAATTTGATGAAATACAATTTGCATTGAATCCCTTAGCAAATCTAATTCCATTATTTAATGATGATGATGATGATGATGATGATGATGGGGTGGGTTTCATTTCTTATAAATAAATTATTTATTATAAACATATAACTTATAATTAAGACATGACACAAAGTACCAATTTTTCAGGCGATATAGAGGGTTTCTGATTGGATATTCTATAGCTATATTTGTAAACAACATTTAAGTAATATGATTGACGAAATCATACTAATTACAGTCAAATAAATTATAAAGGTCTTCCGAACCCAATATCCCTCTCAATGTAGTGAATTTGTGCTTCTTGATCATCAACTACTTCAGCCCTGCAAAATCATACGGAAAACAAAAGGCTTATTTTATTAGTTCTAGGTAGTTACTAACAATATTTCTGATTCTTTTTTTTTTTGGTAAACGATGGGAAGACGGGGTTCATTTCTATAATGCCAGGCCTAAGCAACTTCGAACGGTTCAAGCCCAGTTACGTACAGAAATGGATGCGAGAAGGCGAGAACTTCAACTGCCATGGCCTCTTCGAGAAGCGTAGTTAAATCTAATCAAATTCCAAAATGATACAGCAAAAATTTTGAAAAAAAAAGAAAAGAGAAAGAAAGGTTGTTGTGTTTCCTTTAACTAAAGTCAGGTCCACCTTCAATCTTTTCCCTCCTCCTGGCAGATTGCTGAAGGTCAAGGACTGGCGTTTGTCGCTATTGTCCACGGACCGGAGATCTTCAGGCCTTCGGAATGTTTTTTTTTTTTTTTTTTAACTCTATGGATTCTCATCACAGACCCATGACCAAAAGAGACTTCATCTACCATTCCAGTAGATGACAAACAAACATAACAAGAAGAAAATAACCAAAACAAAAAAAAACACTAACCAAAATGGTTGGTTGGTTTATTATTGACATTGTTTCAACTACTATTCATTTAGAGTCGTATGTACTTTCATACAGACTCATGCATATATATTATTCATTTCATCAAACAATAGTTTTTTTATATATATATATATATATAGTTTTTAACTTTTTTTAAAATATTTGTTATAAAAGTTTTCGAAATATTATATTTTGATCTCTTTTTTTTTTAATATTGTTTTTTATTCTGCAAAAAGTTTTTTTTTTTTATATTTTTGTCAATCTTTTTTGTTTCATTTTGGTCACTTCCATCTTTGTTTCTTTTTTTTTCTCTCATTTTTTAATTAAAAATTTTAAGACACAAAAATATTTAGAAAAAATAATTTATAAAATAAGTTTTTAGCTAAAAATGTAAATAGAGATAAATAAATAATATTTTTTAATAAAAAATTATAAAAATGTAAAAAATAATTAGTCAAATACAAAATTTTAATTAAAAAATTATAAAATTAAATGAATTCTTATTCAGTTTTAATTTAATATATTTTGGTTGATGCATAATATAATACGAAACATCAAAGTAAAATAATTTTTTAACAATAATTTTATATGTTTTGTCTAACTTGTAATGTAGAACGAGTAAAAAAAACCAATATGATCTAAAGGAAAATTAAATCTACAAGTTTGCAAATGAATTGGGAAAAAAATCTGAAAGTCATGAGCCAAGAAGCCAGGTCTCTTAAACAATATGAAACTCCCCGTTTGCAAGCAAAATCAAGGCTCAAGAACTCAAAGATTACAAATAGGACACTGTTTATTTCAAGGGCGTTCATGAATATTATTGAGTAGGAAAAAATAAGATTATATTAATGAAACGAATTCGCGCTGTTATGGCAAAAAAATTGATTGAGTAGGTTGGGCCACATGTACGAACCAGATTATACGACCCTTCGAAGTATGTGATTGAGTTGGTTAGGTTTGGAATGATATATATATGTTAAAAAAAATGATGGGAACGGCTAGGAAAAGTACGTTCCAGCCATTAGATTTTTTTTTTCAAGTCTATCCAATGGTGAATATATATGCTTATCCACAATTTTTTTTTAATTTTAAAAAATAATCCATCTTTAGTTATCATGTTCCGTGTATATGCTTTTTTTTTTTAAAAAAAAAATCTAATTTCATTACTAGCTATAAAATTTTGTATCGAAATTACAATGAAATTCAATCCACAAAAAGAGAATTCTTTGAAAACAATTAGGTCTAATCCAAAATAATGACTTGTCATTTTTTTAAAAATAAATCTTTATTTAGGTTTTTATAAAAACTGATTCGTGTTAAAATATTTTCTAGATAAAAGAACAGAAAGAAAGATAGTATAAATGAAATATGAAATATAACAAGAGAGTTTGCAAAAATAGAAGAGTTAAAAATATAAAATATACGAAGATAAAAATAAGAATAGAGTTTCTTTCAAAGTAAAAAAACAAGTTTTTCAATTCCTTTCGCTTCATTGTTTTTTAAATATTTCATTATAAGAGAAAATTAGAATAATTTTTTATTTTATAGTGGTGATAATACGATTCTGTTGTTCCGCTAGCTACTATTTACTAATCATTGATATTAATGTTCTTATCATTTATTAGCTACTTATTGTGGGATGTAAAGTCAATAAATAAAATAACTTTATTATTTTTTATTATAACTTTCTTAAAATTTCATTTCGTCTACATTTATTAAGTTAAAAGAATGAAATTTTGATTTCTTATTTACTATTTACTCTCGTGATCAATTTTGTTAGAGAGAGAGGAACCTAGGTAATAGTAACTTCAGATTATCAAGAATTTTGCTAAAACTTAGAATGCTTAACCATCAATCTCACGGGCGTTAACCAATTCTGTGGCTTAGAATCTCATTCCGCGGCATTGATGGTTGATTGTTGTAAAAATGATTACAAGTAAAAACGATGGTTGATTGTTGTAAATGTAATTTGAAATGTAAAATTGGTAATTTTATATGGTTGGAATATGCAAAATGAAAGTTGATGGAAAAAAAGGTTAAGTTTTAGATAAAATAATAACAAAATGACTGGTTAAGATAAACTCTAAGAATTCAACCAAAAAAAAAACATCAAATCTTTTAAATTAGGTAATATTTTGATATTGATGAGTAATTTAAGAGAGTTGGTACATTTAATCTTTTAGTATTTGTGTGTAGCAATGGTTTATTTCCTCTACATTCAAAAGGAAGAGTTAAAAAATTAGATATTTGTAGTTTAATAACTTAATTTTAATTAGAGAGAAATTCTTATCGAAATAACAATTTCATTAAACTATCAAGTATTCGATATCACATAATCCAATTAAGTTAGGTTTTTTATCCGATTCGAAGGAGTCGGATGAAAATGCAAAATACATGGCTACACTGAACATTAAGTTTAACATCACAAACAAATGCATAAAAAGTTTTTGACAAATTATGGTTAACTCCATGGCATGTAAAAGTTGGTATAGAATGACCTTCGTGCACACAGCGAATGCAACACAATCAAATAAAAAGTTTTTTTTTATACATGGATTCTTAAATAAAAATTTATAATAATCTAAAATGCAAGTTTCAATTTATCATAAATCCTAAAAAAATATATTTATAAATTTAATTATTTATTTTATAGAATTTTATTGAGAAAACAAAGCAACAATTAATTTTTTTAAAAATGCTTAAAAAATTTAAGACTTAAAATATTTTTTGATAATATTGATGAGAAGATGAATTTTTAAAAGTATGTATTAGGTTTTTATACATCTATTTTTAAAATAATAATAATAATTAAAATTTTTAAAAAGTGCATAAAAAACTCATTTTAAAAAGTATGGTACCATGAGGTGTTTTTTTTTTTATATATATATATATATATATATATATTTGGGAAGAATTGATTTCAAAAAATATTCATTTAATATTAAGCTTTTTTTTTTTTTTTTGTATACACACAATCAATTTACAACAAAAATAATTTATAAAATTCATTTTGATATTTAATTTCATTATAAATAATATAATAGTAATTTTATTATCCTTTTAGTGCTCAAACATTTGATCAAGTGAATTGCACATAGCACAAATAAAAAAGAAGCACATAAAATTAATACGGATACATATAGATTTGAATTGCAATTCAGCATAGAAAAAAATTCTTCCAAAATAAAACAAACCATCAAATATAAGTTTTTCAAAGGAAACCATAAAGGCAAGTTTCAATTTATCAAAAATCCTAAAAACATATCAAGAAATTTAATTGTAACACCCCCAACCTAGGACCTAATAAGTAGAGAATATTACCGCCGTTAGCCACATTCGAAGTGCAATGAATGTAAGCTAACAAGGCATTATGATCTCATTGCAACGTATGTAAGAATATTTATATGATAAAAATCTTTTAATGACGTTCGGGTTCTATTTTTTAATTCAACTTCGTTATAAATGTTTCTCGTTTAT